AGGTTTTATATAAGAGAACAATTTTCACACCAGAAGGAAAAAGCATATTACAAAATATGAATATGAAATTATGTTTTTGGCAGTGAAGTACCAAAGTAGCATATACGACCTGCATATTATTTTTTATTTTTTAGAGATTAAATTACTTCCTTGAAAATAACACCTCAGGAATCTTGTTTGAGTTTTATAACTGAACTCTAAAGATAACTGAATTATTTGCTCAAATAGTTTAAACGCTTAACGAACCCTTAATAGTATCACCAAACTTTTTGTGGACTGAAGGCTCTGAAGTCAAATAAAACTCATATTAAGTTCAATTTTTTATTTCTTATTTAGAGATAGCATGCATAATCAAAGCATATGTATATTTGAGGTTAAATAAAAGATTTATTTTTTTCAAAGAGAACTTACCCTAAAAGAAATTTCTAGGTTTTCTCCTCCCCAAATATCCATTCCAGCATCATATGTTCCAATTTCCTGAAAGTAATCTCTGTCTATAGAAAAAAGGCCTCCTGCCATTGTAGGTGTTCTGAAATTCAATCATAATACTATACCATTAATTTTAACAACTAAGCAGTTTTATAACTCTTTATAACTACTGAATACATGCATATTCTCACACTTTTCAGAAAACTTTTATTGGCCTCCAGGGGTTTTCTGCATGTTTATGGTACATTCTTTGGTCTTTAGCCAGGTCTTGCACCACGGTCATGCTGACTGCTGGACCCATTCGGTTGCTGCTTCTGCCCAGATATCCCCCTCTGCCACAGTCCTAAGGGTGCTTCCTATCTCTCGCACTTTTCTTGGTCCTCAGGTCCTGACTGAGCTTCCACCTCAAACTCCTTAAATTGAAGCTATTCCTCACAATTCTCTCCAGTGGACTGTGTACCCACTCCATAGTTCCTAGCAACTATAAAGACTGACAATATTAACCAACTAGACTCAGGTTAGAGTTAACGTGCCAGGTTTTAAAGGGTGGTAAATACTGTAAAGACATAAAACAGAATAAAAACAATGAGGCCCTTTCCCTACACCTACCAAACATCTTTTAGGAAAGGGGGAGACAAAATAAAGAATAAAATCACTATACTGCCTCCTGACTAAGTATGGTATATTTTCTGTAAAAGAAGAGCCCAATTCATCAAAATATGGCCTAGGTATGCAGAGGGTAGGAACAGGTGAAATGAAACAGAGAAATGATAATGGAGGAGGATTTAAATAAATGAGTACCAGCCTATTTGATTTCCATGAAGGATGAGTATGGAGAAAAAGTGGACTCCAATCAGGAGAAAACAGTTAAGTTCTGGGGCCCAAGAATACTGTGAGGACCATATTTTAAGATGAACTGGCCACCTCTGTAACCCTAAAATGTACTCATTCCATGGCCTGGTGAGGCAGTATTTGCCTTTCTAGAGGAAACAGTTGTTACCAAAAAAGGTTTGGACTTAGGAAAAAAACAGAATGAGAAAAGGTGTCAAAGAAAACAAGCCAAAATCCAGTTATTATTTAGTACAGGAGTTTCTTGACCTGAGTTTTTTGTATGCTAAATTTTCTGTATGTGCATGTGCACTTTTGCCCCTTCATCAGAGAAAACCCATAGCTTTTATTAGATTTTTAAAAGAAGTCCATCATATTCAAATTATTTAGGAACCCCTGATTTAGATGGTGAATTGAACTACAGCTATCCCAGTGCTTTGGGCGGTCAAGGCAGGAGGACTGCTTGAGACCAGGAGTTCAAGAGTAGCCTGGGCAATACAGCAAAAAATCTCTGCAAAAAATAAGGAAAACAAAAACAAACAAACAAACAAAAACCCTAGCTGGGCATGGTGGCACACACCTGTAGTCCTAGCTATTCAGGAGGCTGAGACAGGAGGATTGCTTGAGCCCAGGAATTAGAGACTGCAGTGAGCTATGATTGTACCACTGCACCACTCCAGCCTGGGTAACAGAGCAAGGCCCTGTCTC